CTTATTCCCTGAAAGGAAAAACCCTTTATTTCGCCAAAACCCTAATTATGTTCACCAGTCGGTAGTCCTGAAAGTCCACAATAGTAACCATCGAAAACTCGTACCTTAACTGACCCTGTCACTGTTTAACATATACGACGAGAGGTCATGAAGGTCATTGAATCGATATAGAAAACAAAGTTAGAAGTAGAAACCATGACCTCGTACATACCCTGTTAACTGTCCATGGAGTGGTATAATCTAACCTTCACAACATACTTATTCACGTTCACCTGGAACTCTCAGGTTTCCCTCCTCTCGGGATCTACCTTCGGTTCTATTGTCCCGGGAAAAGGTGACCAAAGGTCAAAAGGTGATGTTGGACGCAAACCGACTAAAGGCCGCCCACCTCCTTTTAACTCCTACCTACTCTTTCCGATTGGCGTCGTGGTAGTCTCTAGTACAACGGTTGTCTCTAGACCGTTCTGGTATCCTCGTGTCCCCAACCTCCTGATGTGCTGTCATCGTAGTTATACTATATACATCGAATTTGTACTATCACCTTTCATATAAAAAAACATTTAGGAATTACAAGCCTCGCCCAAGTTTTAGGGAGACTTTTAACGTGATGTCTTACGCGAAATACAAAAACAAGACAAAAATACAAAAAAAAGAACACCGACGTACTTATCTGAGTTGATGGTCTCGGAAACACGACGTTAGGGCTCAACGTCTTCCCTGTTATCCATCTAAGAACTATTCAAGTTGTAGAATAACTTAAAGACAAAAAGAGATGCACAAGAGGAAGACATGTCACTCTTTGCCAAGTTTCACTAAGTCCGACTATGTGTTCTGAAAACCGAGTTACAAGGTTCTGATGTTCGACTTAACAAGCCAAAGTGGAACCGCCTCGTCTCTAACACTCTTTTCCGTCTCCGGCGTCACACACCCTGACTTATCGACATTCATGACAAGTTAACTATTACAAGAAGATGTCAGAGGCAAGACTGTGATATCGACAACCTCTCTTTGTTTCTCACCCTCTCCACCTCCCCTCCGCTTCACACACACACAACACACCTTACGCCCCGATGTCCAAGTGACATCCCTGACCGGCTCCCGTCCTTCTCTCCCGAAAAG